CCGTGAGCCACAACTACTGAGCCTGCGCATCTGGAGCCTGTGCTACCCAACAAGAGAGGCCGCGATAGTGAGGCCTGCGCACCACAATGAAGAGTGGCCCCTGCTTGCCACAACTAGAGAAAGCCATCACACAGAAACGAAGACCCAACACAGCAAAAATAAATAAATAAATTAATTAATTAATTAATAGTAGGGTTAGGTCTACCCCCAACATCTTCTTAAAAAAAAAAAAAAAATGGGCAGAAGACCTGAATAGATGTTTTTCCAAAGAAGACACAGGATGGCCAATAAGCATGTGAAAAGATGCTCAACACTATTAATCAGAGAAATGGAAATTAAATCCACAATGAGATACCACCTCACACCTGTCAGAATGGCTATCATCGAAAAGAACAGAAATAACAAATGCTGGAAAGGATGTGGAGAAAAGGGAACCCTCCTACAATGTTGGTGGAAATGTAAATAGGTGCAGCCACTATGGAAAACAAAATGGGGATTTCTCAAAAAACTAAAAACAGAACTACTATATGACCTAGCAATTTCACTCCTGTGTATTTATCAAAAAAAAAAACCCCAAACCACTAATTCAAAAAGATACATGCACCTCAATGTTCATAGCAGCATTATTTACAGTTGCCAAGCAACCTAAGTATCCAACAACAGATGAAGGGATAAATAAAATGTGGTATATATATATATATATATATATATACATACAATGGAATACTACGTAGCCATAAAAAAGAATGATTTTGCGATTTGCAACAACATGAATGGACTTGGAGGGTATCATGCCAAGTGAAATAAGTCAGACAGAGAAAGACAAATACTGTATCATATCACTTATATGTGGAATCTAAGAAATAAAACTAGTGAATATAACAAAAACTAAACTGACGCACAGATATAGAGAACAAACTAGGGGTTACCAGTGGGGACAGGTAAGCAGGGAGGGGCGATATAGGGGTAGGGGGTTAAAAAGTACAACCTAGTATGTAAAATGTGAGTAAGATACAAGGATATAGTGTACAGCACAGGGAATATAGCCAGTATTTTATAATAACTATAAATGAATATAACCTTTAAAACTTGTGAATCACTTTGTTGTACACCTGAAGTTTACATAATATTTTATATCAACTATACCTCAATAAAAAATAAATTTAAAAAATTATAATGGCATTTACATTACACTAAAATTGTAATAAGTAAATAAATAGATACCATTTACATTAGCAATAAAATCTATGAGGTACAGGAATAAATAAGAAATGATATTCAAAACCTATACAAAAACTATAAAATTTTATTGGAAATGAATATTATTAAATGTTATGTAAATAAATTGAAGGTAGCCAATGTACATGGATAGAAACAATGAAAATAGAAAATATGCCAATTTTTTCAAAATTAAACTAGCAATATAATGCAATTCCAATAAAAAGTCCAATGGGCCTTTTAGAACCTGACAAGCTGATCCTAAAATTAACATGATAAAACAAAGGGCTTAGACTGGCCAGAGCACTACTAAAATGAGGAATAAGGCATGTGTGTGGCATCAGAGATGGGAGGACTTCCTATAAAGCTATGTAACTGAGATAGCATGGAGGATGATATTAGTGAAAATGCAGACTAAGAACTTTCGAAAATACTCTACTCCATAAAAACAACAAGGAAACCGATAAAATGTCAGAAGAAACTTTTTCGAAACTCTGGAAATTAACCAAAGGCCTACAGCTATCTGGGGAGTATTTATAAAAAAAAAAAAAACAGCAGGAGAGAAGCAAGGAGAATTACAATCCTGCAGTCTGTGGAACAAAAACCACATTCACAGAAACACAGACAAGATGAAAAGGGAGAGGGCTATGTACCAGATGAAGGAACAAGATAAAACCCCAGAAAAACAACTAAATGAAGTGGAGATAGGCAACCTTCCAGAAAAAGAATTCAGAATAATGATAGTGAAGATGATCCAGGACCTCGGAAAAAGAATGGAGGCAAAGATCGAGAAAAGGCAAGAAATGTTTAACAAAGACCTAGAAGAATTAAATAGCAAACACCTAGAGGAATTAAAGGACAAATAAACAGAGATGAAGAATACAATAACTGAAATGAAAAATACACTAGAAGGAATCAACAGCAGAATAACTGAGGCAGAAGAACGGATAAGTGACCTGAAGACAAAATGGTGGAATTCACTACCGCGGAACAGAATAAAGAAAAAAGGAATGAAAAGAAATGAAGATAGCCTAAGAGACCTCTGGGACAACATTAAATGCAACAACATTAGCATTATAGGGGTCCCAGAAGGAGAAGAGAGAGAGAAAGGACGCGAGATAATATTTGAAGAGATTATAGTCAAAAACTTCCCTAATATGGGAAAGGAAATAGCCACCCAAGTCCAGGAAGTGCAGAGAGTTTCAGGCAGGATAAACCCAAGGAGAAACATGCCGAGACACATAGTAATCAAACTGACAAAAATTAAAGACAAAGAAAAATTATTGAAAGCAACAAGGGAAAAACAACAAATAACATACAAGGAAACTCCCATAAGGTTAACGGCTGATTTCTCAGCAGAAACTCTACAAACCAGAAGGGAGTGGCATGATATATTTAAAGTGATGAAAGGGAAGAACCTACAACCAAGAGTACTCTACCCAGAGTCTCATTCAGAGAGGATCTCATTCAGATTCGATGGATCTCATTCAGATTCGATAGAGAAATTAAAACCTCTACAGACAAGCAAAAGCTAAGAGAATTCAGCACCACCAAACCAGCTCTACAGCAAACGCTAAAGGAACTTCTCTAAGTGGGAAACACAAGAGAAGAAAAGGACCTACAAAAACAAACCCAAAACAATTAAGAAAATGGTCATAGGAACATACATTATCGATAATTACCTTAAACGTGAATGGATTAAATGCTCCAACCAAAAGACACAGGCTCACTGAATGGATACAAAAAAATATGCTGTCTACAAGAGACCCACTTCAGACCTAGGGACACATACAGACTGAAAGTGAGGGGATGGAAAAAGATATTCCATGCAAATGGAAATCAAAAGAAAGCTGGAGCAGCAATACTCGTATCAGATAAAATAGACTTTAAAATAAAGAATGTTAAAGGAGACAAGGAAGGACACTACAGAATGATCAAAGGATCAATCCAAAAAGAAGATATAACAATTATAAATATATATGCACCCAACATAGGAGCACCTCAATACATAAGGCAACTGCTAACAGCTATAAAAGAGGAAATTGACAGTAACACAATAATGGTGGGGGACTTTAACACCTCACTTACACCAATGGACAGATCATCCAAACAGAAAATTAATAAGGAAACACAAGCTTTATATGACACAACAGACCAGCTAGATTTAATTGATATTTATAGGACATTCTATCCAAAAACAGCAGATTACACTTCCTTCTCAAGTGCACATGGAACATTCTACAGGACAGATCACATCTTGGGTCACAAATCAAGCCTCAGTAAATTTAAGAAAATTGAAATCATATCAAGCATCTTTTCTGACCACAATGCTATGAGATTAGAAATCGGTTACAGGGGAAAAAAGGTAAAAAACACAAACACATGGAGGGTAAACAATACGTTATTAAATAACCAAGAGATCACTGAAGAAATCAAAGAGGAAATCAAAAAATACCTAGAGACAAATTACAACAAAAACACGACTATCCAAAACCTATGGGATGCAGCAAAAGCAGTTCTAACAGGGAACTTTATAGCAATGCAAGCCTACCTCACGAAACAAGAAAAATCTCAAATAAACAATCTAATCTTACACTTAAAGGAACTAGAGAAAGAAGAACAAACAAAACCCAAAGTTAGCAGAAGGAAAGAAATCATAAAGATCAGAGCAGGGTTTCCCTGGTGGCGCAGTGGTTGAGAGTCCGCCTGCCAATGCAGGGGACACGGGTTCGTGTCCCAGTCCGGGAAGATCCCACATGCTGTGGAGCGGCTGGGCCCATGAGCCATGGCCGCTGAGCCTGCGCGTCCAGAGCCTGCGCTCCGCAATGGGAGAGGCCAAAAAACAGTGAGAGGCCCGTGTACCGCAAAAAAAATTAAAAAAAAAAATTAAAAAAAAAAAAGATCAGAGCAGAAGTAAATGAAATAGAAACAAAGAAAACAACAGCAAAGATCAATAAAACTAAAAGCTAGTTCTTTTAAAAAGACAAAAAGAAATGGCAGGAACTTGATTAAAAACAGCAAGTTTTGTGTCATTTTAACTTTCCTATTCCCATCCCCTCCTCTCCAGCACAGCAGAAGCCTAAAAACCAACAGCCTGCAATCATAGTAAAAACCATCAGCTTGGTATCCACTGGAGAAGGCAAATGGGGCTTGAACTCCTTCAAAACCTCATTACTGGAGAGCTGTCATTTTTTGACTTGTCAGGTGGTTCCTGGGAAGACTCCACGTACAATGTCTTTACTTGACCAGACTCTAAGCTTACTCAGTGAAAAAAGTCTTTTCTCAGGGAGCATTTGTGAAAAACAATTAGAGGCCAGTGATCAACATCATAGCTGCCTGTGGCAGCAGATACTAGTAGAGACAAACAATAGGCCAACCAAACACTTAAAGGAAAAGCTGGGGAATAAGATGTCCATAAGGGCTTTGAAAGGCACTAACATATATCTGGGAATTTAGAAGGCCCCATGCTTGTGCAATAATGTGTGCATGCTCGGGATGTGTGCATGCTAAGCAAAGACCTGAGAAGACCCTAAGCTCTCACCTCAGACTAACCTTTAGGCTATGCACAAGCAGGAAATGCAGGCTAAGGCAGAGTTGTCAAGCTTGAGGTAGGCCCAAATGTTAGTCATGTTCTAGTTCTTGACTGAGTGATGATTTCACATAAGTTTGTTGTACTATGCTTTGTAACGTACATATATTCTTTTGTTAAGTATCAAATACATTTTTAAAAGGAGATGGAAAACATCTTTACATTAAACAAATCTTAAAGATGAAACTCGTACCTTCAACTATGCTGGACTTAGCAAGAAATCCTGAAGATGCTTTTAGAGCTCCATTGAATACCACAAAACTTGCACCTGTCACTAATTTAAAAATACAATAATTATGTTTTAAACTGCTCTTTTTATGCTATATCATATTTGTTAAATGCATAATGTGGAGCATAGCATATTTTAAGTACCTGATAAACACCATGCCCATACCACTTATATTAGAACAAAAAATACCAAACAAAATAAAGTTACGATAAAATATTTCATAAAGCTTATTTAATGTTTGTATCTAATAATTGATGGCTGTTGTACTATTTACAGTGTTTGTATCATGTGAGGGTGTGGAAAATCAAACATCTACTACTGTTGAGAGCATAAATCAGAACAATCTCTATGGAGCACAACTTGATAAATTGCTATTAAAATTACAAACACATTTATACTTTGACATACAAATTCCATTTCTAGGAATTAATGTTGGCACATATACAAGGTTATTCATAGTGCATTTTTATAAACATAGTGCATTTTATTTTATCCTTTATATAAAGGATTGGTAGCAACTGTCCATTAATAAGGGACAATTAAATGATGTTCACATATAAAGTGGAAAGTTATGTGCAATGTGAAAGTTCTTTATATACTAACAAAGAATAATCTCCAAAAGAAAAAACAAGGTGCAGAATGGAACAAATGTTATGACTTGTTTAAAAAAGTGGAAGAAAGGTGTATGTGTGTGTACGTGTGTGGTGCGGTGGTGTTTGCTTACATATACGTACAAGCAAGAAATCCCTGAAAGGATACACCAGAAACTGATAACACTGGTTTGGTTGCCTGTGGGGAGGGGAAGAGGGTAGTTTGAGGGTCTAGGGAGGAAAGGAGATTTTGCAGTGTGAATATTTATACCTTTTGAATTTTATACTACATAAATATTCATCAAATAAATATTAAATGGCTGTAAAATTTTAATGACAAAAATGTCAATAGCATGTTAAGTTAAAAAAGCACAATATAAAAGGAAATATCCAGTATAAAATCATCTATTTAACATATATATCAGTATAAGAAGGAAATATATTAAAATGTCAACAAAGGCCATATTTTGGCACTTTTTTTCCTTTTACTACTTCTTCAAACGTATTTTCCAAGCTTACTACAAATGAGTATACATACTTTTATAATCAGAGGAAAAATTTTTATTAGCAGCCAGAATGTCTGACTATTTTAAATGTGTTATTTTACAATAATGTATTAAGTTTTTGGAATACTTACTTCTACTTAACTTTCAATTTGTTAGGCTCTCTACTGCAAGGATTTGGTAATCACAGCAGTCACTGAGGCCATTCAGCCGAGTAATGTCATTCACATCACCATCTTTATCATTTTTATATTCCCAGCCACTTAACAGTTTTATAAATCATTCTTCATCCTTATCTACCCTGTGCTCCCCGCTAAGAGGAGTCGGAGCAGAGAGCAAACAAAGGCAAAAAATACCTCACTCCAGAGACACCCACCATATGGGACACACTAAGCCTGAAGACATCAAAATAAATGCTGTATTGCAAGTTTTTAAACCTAATGTTGCCCAAGATAAACACAAATATTAGAAGCAATTTTTTTGTTTGTATAGCTAAAAATTTAAAGCATACTGTTTCATCACCATCAATTCAGCAAATAAGTAAGATATCTACATATAGGTATATTCCTCTTTGAAAGGAATTCTTCTTTTTGAGATCGTTTTATGGATTGACACTAGGAACCAATACTCACCTTTTCTAGGATGGCCAGTAGCACTGTTGGCTTGTGTTTGATAAACTCCATCATTCTGTATACAGACTAGATGAGAATCTGCTTCTGTACTAAAACTACCTCCAATGCTAATGACATGCTCATTAGAAGAATTTATTACTTTCATTACCTGGAAAAAAACAATATGCATTTAGAAACATTTTTAACATTTTGTGCCTTTATTAGTTATAATAATTCAAAGAGTCACATTTCTGACCACCTTTATCAAGCTTTAATCTGGACAACTCCCTAAGAATGTGATAGGAACAAATGATTTAAAATAAAATCACCTCAATTAAAAGACAGATAAAACAGTAAGAAAAAAATGAAAAAATAGGATTAAACAAATCCTCTATTAGGAAACAAATCCTCTATTAGGAAACAAATCTAAAATTTCAAAAGTAAGTGTTTTTTGTTTTTTGGGGTTTTTCTGCGGTACGTGGGCCTTTCACTGTTGTGGCCTCTCGGGTTGCGGAGCACAGGCTCCGGACGCGCAGGCTCAGCGGCCATGGCTCACGGGCCTAGCCGCTCCGCGGCATGCGGGATCCTCCCGGACCGGGGCACGAACCCGTGTCCCCTGCATCGGCAGGTGGACTCTCAACCACTGCACCACCAGGGAAGCCCAAAAATAAGTTTTTTTTGTCATTATATATTAGTCCAATTCAAAACAAATTTAACACACTTCTAAAGAAATCTAATGTTCAATAATTATCTCAAGACTTGAATAAAGCAATTATACTTACATCATTGTATTTTTTCCGAGGTATTTTTATGCAGCTTTTCCCCACTTCCATATGAATCAGTAGCTCATCTATATTATGCAAGGTATACTGGTAATTTCGAAGGTCCTACATAAAATAATGATAGTTCCATAAACCTTAAACTACTATCCATGAACATTTACCCATTCATTAAATCCTTTTTTAAGAGTATCCATCATTTTAAAACTTGTGATACATAACTATCAAAACACCATCCAGAAAGCAATAGCAACTTCAAAAACCAGCTAATTCTTCCAGCTACTCCACAATAATAATAAAGATAATCATTCTCAGGAAGAATTCTGTAGCATTTGAGGGTGATCTCTTTCTAGTTACAGATCTTCCAAAACAATAGATTTTCAAACCGGACATGGATAAATAAAAGCAAGTTGGGCTTCCCTGGTGGCGCAGTGGTTGAGAATCTGCCTGCCAATAGAGGGGACACAGATTCGAGCCCTGGTCCGGGAAGATCCCACATGCCGCGGAGCAACTAAGCCCATGCGCCACAACTACTGAGCCTGCTCTCTAGAGCCTGCGAGCCACAACTACTGAGCCCACGTGCTGCAACTACTGAAGCCTGCATGCCTAGAGCCCGTGCTCCACAACAGGAGAAGCCACCGCAATGAGAAGCCCGCGCACCGCAACGAAGAGGAGCCCCCGCTCGCCGCAACTAGAGAAAGCCCACGTGCAGCAACGAAGACTCAATGCAGCCAAAAATAAAATTAATTAATTAAAAGAAAAAAAAAGCAAGTCCACTGAAATACATTTGTATAATAAAAGGTAAACACAAAATTACAGAAATTAGAGGTGGAAGGGAACCTGAGATCATCTAATCCAATACTTCCTATTAAAAATGAGGTGACTTGGGCCACAGTTTGCTCAAAATCATCAAATTGACTGACTTTACTAACTCTTTTACTAAGGCTTCAACAACTGTGTGGATCTCACATTACCTAAATGTGTAAGCACTGCAGCAGAATGAATCAAAAGGCAATTTGAATCAGGTATACATAAATTAGGACGTGTTCTAAAAAGCACTTCATCAGAAACAGAGGCCATTTATGTTAAATGAATTAGGATTTATTATAAATGAACTTTCATTATACCAAATATCTCAAATTAAAATAGAAAAATATAAGTATGTGAAATTTGCTTAATGAATTGTTAAAGTAACAATATAAGAATACTTAATAAAACAGTTCAATTACTCACAACAAGTAAGTTCATAATAGTGTGTCCTATTTCTCCAAAAAGAGGTTTTCGGCCTCTGATACTTGTTAAAGGAGCAGGATATGCTATACACAAGAATAGAAAACTGGTTACCATCAACAAAAAACAAAAAAATTCTTAAATTTGTTACCTTTAATTTTCATTTTTCCAACATTACGGATAAATACCACTCAATCAGTTCTCTGGGGAAAGTAAGAAATGACATTAACCCATACCATGTATCTACCAGATGCTACATTGAACTGGGACCTTTACATACATTATCCTAATTAAACCCTATAACAACCCAATGAGGCAAGTATGTCTATCCCTACTTTACAAATGGGGAAGCAGAGACACAGATTAATAACCCTGCCTATGGTTTCTAAGTTAATAACTGGTGAAACGGATATGAAACTAGGCTTGGCCTGATTCCAAAGCATTTAATCTTTCATCATACATGTTGTTTCCAAACATTATGATGGCTAGAAAATTACCATAACTGGCTAGACCTACATAAAGTTCTCATAATTTAAAAAGAAATATTCTGAAAATTTAAAGCAAAATATGAAGAATTCAAGATTTTTAAGGCATTTGTAATTAATGTTCAATTGTGTGAATTTATGGGTGATAGTAAAGTTTTATAGTTCTTGGGTCAGCATGATTAAAGGAACACAGAATCAGAGAAGTCAATGCAGAGAAGAAGTGATATGGACTCTGTCACCTAACTACTTTTCTGTTTCTTTAGGACACTATAAATATTGCGCACCAAAAAGGAAAAGTACCTTGGTGGCAATGCAGCAGGA